GAATGATAAAATAAAGAAAGCTTATCATTGTTAGTATCAATCATTTAAATCACATCATATAATTCATGAATTGTTCTTATCTTTCTTATATTTGGACTTTTTGAATCACATGACCTAGTCGATCTAGATGATAATTTAGGCAAATACTTTTTAGTGCTTGCTTGTATTGTATCATACTATTTCGAAACTATAGTTTTCTTATATTACTTACCACTTTTGCAGTTTCAAATTTATTATTCATTAAATTTAACATCTTTTGACATCTCAATTTTGTTTGTGGTAGGATTATAAAGTTTATACCCAAAAAATAGAATTTTTAATATAACCTAACAAGATTTATTTTTGACCTTTATCATCAAGTTTTGTTCCTTTTTCTTTGATATATTGGAAAATACAATACTTCTAAAAATTCTCTAATGATTTACTCTTTATTTCTGTAAACTCTATATTTCTTCTGGTGTATCATTATCAATTCTTCTTGTTGAAAACTTATTAAGAAAATAAACTACACGAGCAATAGCCTCTCCCTAAAATTATTTAGGAATTCATATTTGTTTTACATATATCAAACCATATTAAGTATAGTCCTATTTTTTTTTCTAAGATACCATTTTGTTGAGGCATATATGATATAGTGAATTGATGTAAAGTTTTATTATCTCTACATAAACTTTTAAATTCATTTGATATGTATTCACCACCCATGTTTATTCATAAACATTTAATCTTACAATCATTTTATCTTTCAACAAAATTCTTAAATTTTTTAAATTTACTTATAACTTTTTTTTTTCTTAAAACTTATTTCAAGTGATACTGGATTGATAAGGCCATAAACATCGGAGTGCACTAGTTCAAGTTGATGGCATGCTCTTTTTATATATCTAATTTGAAAGACTTTTTTCTTACTTGCTCATGACATATACTTCACATAACTTTGATGAGCAATCAATTCTTGACAATTTTGTCATCATATTATATTTCTCTACAAGTTTTAAAGCTTCAAAATCTAAATTAGTATATCTAAGATGTCATAACGTAGAATTGTCCTCAATATCAATTTTAAAATAATTTGACTACTAAAAATATATAGAGAAAACATTTTGTTTTTCATATTTTCAGATGAAAGATTAATGTTTTTATTTTTATAACAAATTGAAAGAGTCATTGAAACGTATTATTTTTATAACAAATTGAAAGAGTCATTGAAACGTATTATTGAAACGTATTATTTTTATAACAAATCTAAGTAATTGCCTGAAGTTCAGAATATTATTTTTCATATTAGAAACATAATAAACATTGAAACGTATGATTTTTTATCATTATTAAGTAAAAAAAAATTTACCGTTGTCTCTTGCTAGTGTTGAGACAGATCACCAAATGTAATATTATCATAATAACTTGTATCTCTTTTAAAAAAACGTATTTGATGCCACACGTATGATATGAAGCTCTTGTATCTAACTATCATATCATAAACTAATTTTTTTTTTCAAATTTTCATTTCATTATCAAAACATTAGTTTTGTTCTTTTCTTTTTTCTCAGTAAAATTTACTTTATCACTGATTATAATAATATTTTAAAAAATAGTATCCATACTTTTTGAAAACTTAACATTGTATTTCAAACCTTTTAGAATTTCTGCCATGTGGATGGCCTCAGCTATGTTCTTAACTAAAATTTTTTCCATCACATTTATTGTTTTGAGATTCTTAATTGGTTTGATTTCTGTCACATTTTCCTTTTTGTCCATTATCTTTTTTTCTTTGAGATTTTGATTCATCTTTATTCTTAATAGTAAGATTGGTTTGTAATGCTTATTCTATAGATTTTTCTTCAATTCTTTTTATGTGCCTTTTATTTATGAACTTTGAAAAGAATTCATTGGTTATTCTAAAGATATTTGTTTTTGAGACTTTAGACTCTTCTGCAACAATAAAATCAAACTTTGAATATTGAGATCTTAATATTTTTTTCTATTACTCTTTCATCACTTATTTGATAAATTAATAGAAATACTTTTTGAGACAATTTATAAGCACCTCAGTGTAAATCTTTAAACTTAGCTAGTAAAACTTATAAATAAAACTTTTTTACTTTGTCCACACTATCAAATACTTTTTAAAGCATTTCGCAAGCCTTTTTTAAAGTTTTTGCTGGAGTGATGATCTTAAACATTATATCATCAAGCTTTTGGTAAATCATTAACAATGTTTTTTTCTCCTTCTTCCTTTGATTTTTGAGTTATTTTTTTGCTTCTCTATCAATTGCTCTTTTTTCTATTGGACTTAGTTTAATAAATTCGTCTTCTACAAACTCCTATATAAGTTGACAGTCTAGAAGAATCTTTATTTAAAAGCATCATATATCATAATTTTTTTTTTTATCAATATAAGGATTTTGAGTTAGATGGTACTTGAAGAAGATGTCATAAGTTAATATGGCTCTGATACCAAATATTGAAATAGATATGGAGAAGAGATGGAGCTATCACGTAAGGAGGAGTAAGGACAAGACAAAGTATTCTTTATTTCACTCAAAAGAAACTCACTATAATTTCAAAAGACTTTATATCTTTCATGACCCAATATGGATTTACATAGTACCCAAGGATATATTACATTCACTACATTTAATATAAATATCTTTCTCCATGATACTCTCTTTTAAGAGCCAATAACCAATTTAGTTTATTTTTTTATAGACCTTTAATATGTTTCACCTTTTGATATAACAAACTTCTTCACTAGGTGTGAGCTTCAAAAGTAAGTAATTTTTTCATCTTGAGTAGTAACTAATTTCTTCATCTGTGCTCAGGACCTTAGACACACTAGTGCCACTTCAACCCAATCATCTAATGAGTTGGTTATAGTAGTTTGTTCATAAACTTAAAGAGAACTCGTTAGTTGTTCTAAAGGCATTTGTTCTAAGTCTTTAGACCCTTGAATTGCTACAATAATAAAATCAATCTTTAGATGTAGAGATCGTAGTATTTTTTTAATTACTCTTTGATTATTTATTTATTCATCATTTCTTCTCATTTGGTGAATAATAGAAATGATATTTTAGAAGTAACCAGAAATATATTCAGAAGTATATTGTTATAAAATTTCAAATGTAGCTTGTAAAACTTATATACAAAGTATTTTTATCTTAAATATACTATCAAATACTTTTTGAATTATTTCCCAAGCCTCTTTTAAAGTCTTTGCTAGAGCGATAATCTTGAATATTATATTATTAAGTTTTTGATAAATCATAAACAAAGGCTTTTTTTCCTTCTTTCTTTGATCTTTGAGTTGTTTTCTTGCTTCTTTATCCATTACTCTTTCTTCTTGACTTGGTTCAAGAAATTTATTTTCTATAAACTCTCATATATCTTGAGAACTTAGAAGAACCTTTATTTCGATATACCATATATTATAATTTTTTTTGTTAATATAAAAATTTAAAATTAGAAGGTCCTTGAAGAAGAGGTCATAGCTTAACCTGACTATGATACCAAATGTTAAAATAGATATGAAGAAATGACAAAACTATCATACAAGAAAGAGTAACAACAAGATAAAATATTCTTTATTTCACTCAAAAGAAGCTCACTATAATTTCAAAAGACTATATCTTTCATAACCCAATATATAAGGTTTATATAGTCCCCATGCATATATTACATTCATTATATTTAAGAAAGAGTAAAAATAAGACAAATCATTCTTTGTTTTACTCAAAAGAAAATCACTATAACTTCAAAAGATTATATCGGGGATTTATATAGTCCCCATGAATAGATTATATTCATTATAATCCTTTTTCTCTCATGAGATTCTTTTCTAGAATCAATAATTAATTTAATTTATTCTTCCATATATCTTTAATGTTTAACCTCTCTTCATCAACTTTTTCATTAGGTGTCAACTTTAAAGATAAGTAATTTCTTAATCTTGAGTGGCAATTAATTTCTTCTTGTTAATTTATGCTCATCAAGACCTTAGACACACTAGTGCTTCTTGAACTGAATCACCTTCTGTGCTGGTTACAGTAGTTTGTATCTATTTCTTAAATATAGCAGGAATTCAAGAGGTTTACTTGATAAGTTAAGTTACCAGAAAATATAATTACCATGACATTTCCATAATTTAGTACATAAAATTACACCTCAACTATGCCTAAACAGTTTCCAGTGTTGTTAGCAGTAATTTTTACAAGGTGTCTTCAGTTAGGAGAAGTATCAAAGTGTCTTCTTCTCATTGCAGGCTGAATCACCAAGCAACAATACTGGCCTGGCACCATCAACCTCAATTGGTCCACAGTGACAGACTGTTGGCATTGAAGGCTGAGGAAACAACTCCCTGTGAGACCCAAAGGCAGAGTGACAATGGGGGTAAAGTCTGTAACTTCAATTGTAAACTTTGTAGCCAAGAGGAGTTGTAAATTGGAGGCTACCTTATTTCTGACAAGTTTGCTGAAGTCTTTTCTTAGGGTTTTGGGAGAGAGAGAGAGAGAGAGAGAGAGAGAGGTGGCAGGGCACATACCTGAGCTGACTTCATGTTGTGCACACATCCCCAGAGATGTCCCCAAGTTGTTGGCTGTATTGATCAATGCCTTTCACTTGTAAATAAACTGAAGATATCCACAAGTACTGCTGCACCTCTCTTTCTTGTCCATATACTTCCTTTCTTGCACTGTCCTCCTCCCATGAATTCCTATCATTTCTACCACATGACATTGTTCCAAATCTTCGACAGATTGTTAGATCTCGTGTTTACGCACACAGATCCGATGGATCGATCACCGCAAGACGTACATTTCATGGCTGGCCGACCGACCGATCGAGCTGCCATGGACCCCTTCCTCCCCTGTTTGATGCTCAAAGGTGGCCGAGAGTTCATGTGTCTTTGTTTTCCAGGTGGGCACCAAGGGTGTACCAACAACGTATGTACCATGCTTTCCGAAGCTGCCACCCACATTCTTTTGTTGGAACATGGCCATGAAATCCCCCTTACGTCCACCCTTTGGCGATAGCACAGATCTATCTTAATCCATCATACTGTCACAGGAGATGAATTAAATGCTGCAAATAGTTTCTTTTAATGCTTGTTTTTTTCCTGAATCGAAATGACCTCTGCCTCCCTTGGTTTCTTGCTATGTTATGCCCAACCCGCGGACATGCCACGCCTTTGTTCTTCTGCCTTTTATCTCACCCCGTAAGCTGCTCTCTCTGTCCGCCTCCTCGTGGCCTTCGCTTCCTCCGTCCTCTGCTTCCATGGGGTCCGAGGTGGCCGTCGTAGGCGAATTGCCTCAGCTTCCACCGCTGGAGATGACGGCGGTGGATGCTGATCACGAAGAGTGCGTGACACCAAGGTCGGAGGAGCCCGTCCTCGTCTGCCCGCCGGCCCCGAGAAAGCCGAGGACAGCGAAGAGGACGTCGCCGGAGTCTCCGCCTCCCAGAGAATTCTTCCCCGTACCCCGCGATCTCGCCTCCGTCTTCCTCCCTCTCCCTCCCACGAAGCGAATTCGTGTAGTTTGATCCGAATTGTAATCTTCCGTGATTCCTTCTCTTGTTCTCCTTCGCTTCTCATTTAGATTTGATTTCTTTTTTGTGATCTTTGTGTAAGACGAAGAAAAATTCTCCTCGACATCATGAATGTCAGACGATGTTCTTCTCCCGGTATTCTAGCAATTCAAGACCTGTTCCTCATCTGTGGTTGTTTGTCACCGGCCTCATCGACTCCCATTGTCGCATTTAGAGGAAGAAGGCAGTCCGATTCGTGGGATCTCTGGGAACGAGTCGCTGGCTTCATCGAAAGCATCCGTCTAGGTTAGAACATGGTGATAAGACTTCTCCAGGTTGGAGATCGAGGACAAAGATGGGACGTCAACTTTTCCCTGACCATCATGGCCAACGATGACATACGGAAAGGAAGAGATTCCTGTAGACAAGCCCACATGACCAAAGTGCAACATGATGCAACCTCCATGGATCAGGACAGCTCAAGAATATACCAGTACAGTGAAGTAGAAGTATGCCCTCAATGCTGTGGACAGAATCTATTCCTTCTGCTGCCGAACGAACAAGGGGGTGATGTCCGCTAGCTAGATTTCCTTGTCCACTCTTCTCCTCATCTTCCCTGCAATGCTTCTCCTGAAGATTATTATTATTATTATTATTGTTGTTGTAATCATTATACTGCAACACATCAGTACTGAGAAAAAGCATGAGACGGGAGGGAGTGTCATCACATGGTGGGCGCTCCATAGATATCTAAAGCTCAGCTTCATGGTTGACAATCATCAAGGTCATCTTTTTAGCTTTCTGTCCCTTCGGCCACGAGCCTCTTTCCAGGTTCCACTACCTCTCGGGTCACCATGCATTCTTCTTAGCGATGGGGAGTCGCATCGGTGCTGATAGGGTTTCTATGCAACTATACTTCATGGCTTGGCCCAATTAAGATCCAATTAACATGATCCATCAGGCTTTTCGGATGGGCCTAAAGCCTATGTTTACTCGGCTATCTAACGTAATGCATCTTATTTAAATCTTTTGTCGTGGGTGGAAAGATCGGGTATCTAACGTAATGCCTCGTATCTAATCGTTCCAAGTCAAAAGGACACGTTGATGACACACGAATCGCCTCGTCAATCCTACTTGGAATCCACCGCCTCCTTGCTTTCCCTCCGATGCTTCTTTTCCTTTCTCTTAGGGTCAAACATGCGGAGCTGTGCGCAGCGCAGAAGGCGACACCGAGCTTCCTATTCCTTCGAGTTGGATGCATCCAACTGCAGGATTCTCCGTCGTGAACGTGATGCACAGCGGCAGATACGCCGCTGCCGCACCAGAGGAGCTCAGACACAGTTGTCATCGCTGCTAAATCATTGTCCTCCTCCCTCCTCCCTCCTCGACATTAAGTTTCCTAATCAGTCGCTCCCACAACTTTAATGCCCGCTGCCGTGTGTAACGTACGACACGGTCGGTGGTGGGAGACGCCGGGATTTGCAGCCGAGATGTGTGGGATCGGGTGCCCCGCGGACGCCGACCAAGTGCTTGCTTTAATGCCCACATGCAACCCTGCGCTCCATTAACTCGAATGCCGACGACTGCCCTCCGCTCCGCTCCCTGGCCGTGATTTGCCACGCGACGGCGCTCTCAGGCTCCGTCGTTATCTCACACGTGCGGGAAAAATGCTCGAGTCGGAGGTGATACGACGGGAACGTCCTGATGCTGATGTCTGGTCCATGTAAGCGCCGTTTGGCATGCGACTGCTGCTGCTGCTTATTATGTGCATGTCGCTCATACGAAATGTCATGTGAGCTGTCAAATTAATGTGAGAATAATAATTGTGGTTCGGAAGCAGCGGGTGGCAGTTCCGTGAATAGATGGTTAGCGGATGGCATAAAATGTAAGCATCAGCTGATATATAGCGATTCCACCACCAGATGCGATACACGCAGGCGAGGGAGGAGGTCTCCTAGGAAGAGTCGCCATCGCCGGAGATGTGCCCGAAGCCGACGAACTCGGGCGCCGCTGGCTCCCCAGCGGACGGAAAGAAGCCCTACGATTGGCGCCAGGAGGTCATCGACAGCGGATCCCTCCGCCGCGTGGACCTCCACACAGGATCCAACGGATGGGCGTCGCCCCCCGGCGATCTCTTCGCCCTCCGCGGCCGCCAGTATTTCTCCCACCGCCAGAAGGCCCCATCTGGAGACTGGCTGCTCAATCCTGCCGGCGTCGATTGGCTCCGCTCCCCCTCGCGCCTCGACAACGTCCTTGGCCGATCGGACAACCGCGTCGCTGCCGCCCTCCGCCGCGCCCGAGCCCTCGGCCGCGCGCAGAAGACCTTCCTGTTCGCCGTCAACCTCCAGGTCCCCGGCGGCCGCGAATGCCACTCCGCTGTCTTCTACTTCGCAGCCGAGGACACGATCCCGCCCGGTTCCCTGTTCTACCGCTTCGTCCATGGCGATGACGAGTTCCGGAACGCCCGGTTCAAGATCGTGAACCGGATCGTGAAGGGCCCGTGGATCGTGAAGACCGCCGTTGGAAACTACGCCGCCTGCCTCCTGGGGAAGGCGCTCACCTGCAACTACCACCGTGGGGAGAACTACCTGGAGATCGACGTCGACATCGAGAGCTCGTCCATCGCCAAGGCGATCCTTCGCCTCGCCCTGGGCTACGTGACGGCGGTGACGATCGACATGGGGTTCCTGGTGGAGGCGCAGGCGGAAGAGGAGTTGCCCGAACGGCTGCTGGGGGCTGTGAGGGTGGTACAGATGGAGATGGGGTCGGCCACCTATGTGGACACCAGAACCAAGGCGGCAGAGTCCACCAGAGGCAGTGGCTTCCGGGGCTTGGCCAAGGTCAATCACCACCACCACCAGAGCACACATTCAGGCTGCGGCGGCAATGCGAGAAGTCGCGAGGATGAAGGTTAGGGGTTCCCCTCTTTGTTCTTTGTTGGAAAGATGCCATCTTTATCTGCTGTGTGAATAAAATCGAGATAATTGTAGCTAATTGCCTTCCATTTTGGGGAAAAAGGATTGGTCGATGGAAAGCAATCGAGGAGGGTATGTCCAGTATAATTTGCATTTGCTACTATGACTGCTTTCTCGTCGATGATGGAAGTGGACAAATCCATGGTTATTTAGTCATTAAATATTTGGATACAACAGTGCTCAATTTTCCTTGTGCATTATCCATCATCTTCTGCTATACATCTCTAGTTGTGTGTTTATTCTGTATGTTCTGTTGTTGATTTGTTTGAACTTTACAGCACAAGAACAAATACCTTGCTTAAGTGTGTGGTTTACTGGCTTTGCAATTCATAATTGCTTTCTTTTTCACCATCTTTGGATGCAGACAGTCTCCTTAGGTTAACACTTTAGAGGATTACAGTAACTGTTGAATTAGCTAGCTTACCTCATAGTGTATGTAGTTCATGTAGAAAAGATTAGTTTCTGGATGCTTAAATCTCATATCTGCATGTTGAGAGCAAGACAGCAAAAGCAGAGAAACGAAAACTTCATCATCATTTGGTTAAACAAGAATCATAAATATGCCACAAAAGAAGTTTCTCTCATCTGCTTGTCTTCAACTAGTAGAAACTTGGACACATCCTACAGCCATAGCTCTTTTGCACACTCTTAAATGTTCATTAGAGTGCCTTACAGGATTAAGATTGGGACTGAAGCGGAAAGAATTGGAACCTCACCAAGAACTGGTTAGAGCTCATAGTTATTGATCTTTTTGACCATCTCATTGCAAATTTAAATAGTTTAATTATGTGAAGTACCTTAGCTAGCTGTGTATAGCTAGCTGTGAGCTGTGAGCTGTGTGGAAGGTGTATATAATAAACCATAATCATGGGCAAATTATGTCACAGATCTGCCCTGTAATCATGCTCTCATCTGTATGATTACTTACATATATGGTTAGGAGGAAGCTGTATAAATATAGATAGAGAACCTCTTGCACATTATTGGTACCCAAGTGGAACAGATCAGTATTCTACCACCATCATTTGTTTCTCATAAGAGAAGTCTGATATGCCTTTTGTCTTCTTTGTGTGATGGAGGGTTCTTTCATTTGTTACTGGACAAAGATTGTGGACAAGTCAACAGTGTATGCCCACTTTTGATGTTAATCAAAAGCAAAGATCATCTAAAAGAATTTAGTGACTTGGAGAGAGAATCTTGTTCCCACCATTAGCTAAGAGATGAAAATATCATGCCCAGGAATAACTCATTATGTTTCATCTTCAGAATCATTAGTTCCTTAGAACTAAGGCAACCTGGAGAGTGCCACCACCATCAGCTTAAACAGGAAATACTTGTCTATAGAAACACATTAAGGAGTGCAAATACATACCATAACTTTAGAGTTTTATCTCATTTCTAAATTGTTCTGTAATTGCTGAAGGCTCTTGTGCTTGTATATATATATATGTGTGTATACATATGTATCTATTTCCATGAAACCTGAATTTGGCATTATGTCTCTCAAATTATTTGTTTCCATTGAGCAGAAGATGATGTTGGATATTTTGATGATAGATTTGTTCACTAGTAAGAGGTGATGTTGAGATGTATATTGACATATTACTTTGTATGAGTATATATATGTCTGTTCAATTTTAAACTAGACTGAGTTATGTGTGTGTGTGTGTGTGAGAGAGAGAGAGAGAGAGAGAGAGAGAGAGAGAGAGAAAATGTAAGAGTATTTTTATACAATCTACATGTGAAGTTTTGTCCCAAGTTAATTCATAAAATATAAGAAAGAGAATCAAGATTGAATGCCCTGGATCTGACAATTGTACTATACACCTAATTTATTTTTGTTCTCAAGGAAAATTGAAAATTCTATACCATCCCCAGATCTTGATTCCCAAAGAAAAGGATGACTTGGGGTTAACCATGTCATGAATTCTGTGCATTAATTGTCTTCTTACTGCAAACAATCAGGAGGGATTAGAAATTTTGGCTAAAGGATTGTTGCTGCACTTTAGTGGCATCTTATCACAGTGTTGTATCAAAATGTGGCATGTGAGCATCTAATTTTGCCACAGCAAAGCTTGTCAAGCACAAGAACATGTTCCTGAGCTCCCCACCTCTTTGCTGGCCACCCATCAAAGGTGCTCCATGGCATGGTATTCGATCTGTATCCTAGTTGTGTGGTCCTCCAGCATGATGAGTTGGTGGTATTGAACTCTGCTCACAGCACCCATATGCTGCTGCTGCTGCTGTTCCTGAAGGCTCTTAAAGATGTCATTGATTGATTGCTTCACAGCTAATACATATTCACATCCTTCTCTCTCTCATCTGAAACAGTTCAACCTATCATAATATGAACTCACCATTGGACTGAACCTTATGTGCACTATAAATATTTGGTGATTTTAGTTCCATCTGGAGAGAAAATGTGAATTAATTGTGTAACTATTAACTCATATAGCTTAAGTATTTTGTATTGTTGATGCTGCATAAGGCCAATGGTACAATTATCATCATATCAAGTGGGATGATGATATTAAATTTGATGTATTAGAATCAAACCAATTACACAAGTAATTGGAGACAATTTAATAGTAGAGAGTGGAGACGATAATTTTAAATCAGATCGAAGTGCATCGATTTCATCCGATTAGATTCCATCGACTTTGGAAGATGAACAGAACATGTCAGAAAATATATTTTTTTATAGTCGATCAAAATTAAAGTACTATATTATGCAAATTTAATTAATGCATGTGATAATTATTACATGTTTCTTTATGCATTTCTGGTTGAAGCAGGATGATAAAATAATTAAATAATAATAATAATAATAATAATAATAGTAGTTATTGTTGTAATAATAATAATAATAATAATAATAATAATAATAATAATAATAGTAGTAGTAGTAGTAGAGTAGTAGTAGTAGTAGTGGTAATAATAATAGAAAAGATGCGGCTCGACAGAAACGCGCCGAAGGGCGAGAAGAAGAGTTGTCGGAGCAGCCGTGGTGGAGCTCCGCCAAAAGATGGAGGCGGCGGCGCCCTACCTCGTGATGACCATGACTCAATTCTGCCTTGCCGGCTTCTTGGTTATCCTGCGGTCCGTCCTCGCCCCCTCCGCGGGCGTCAGCGCCACCGTCCTCGTCGCCTACCAGCAGCTCCTCTCCGCTCTCGTCCTCTCCCTCCTCGCCCTCCTCTTCGACCGGTGCGGTACTTACCTTCCTCTATTTCCCTCAAACGCTTCTCCTCCTCGAATCGATTCACATCTATTGCAGACGCCAAGGACCGAAGCCGACCCCCAAAATCCTTGCTTGGTCCGCCGTGATCGGTCTCCTACAGTTGAGTAATCGACCAATGTCCTCCTTTCAATTGTAACTTGGGTGATCGATTCACCAAGTGTTGGGGCTGAAGGATTCCGCTCGGGGAGCTGATGTTCACCACGAGCCTGCGCTACGTGACGGCGACGTTCCAGAGCGTGGCCATGAACACCATCCCCGTGGCGGTGTTCGTGCTCGCAGCCGCCACCGGCAGGGAGCGGTTCCGGTTCTGCAGCTTGGGTGGGCAGTGGAAGCTCTGGGGGACCCTCGCTTCCGCCACCGGCGCCACCATCGTGGTGCTCCTGTCGGGCCGGGACTCGGCCGGGTTGACGGCCGGCGATGGCGGTCGGTTGGTTGGGATCGTCATGGTCGGCGTCGCTGTTCTTGCCGAGGCTACCGCGAACCTTTTGGTGGTGGGTATACCCTTCGTTGATTGAGACAATTATGCTATGAATTCGGTAGGCGTTGTCTTCCTCCATTCTAATCAATTTCAATCATAGAACATGCAATTGATTCTCATTCTCTACTGGAAATTATTTAGGGCTTGGAAGATCCATGTCTTCACATAATTGAAGAAAGCATTATATGGTGTTCTATCTGTGCCCAAAAGACTGGTCTTCTTAAGTGATGTAGTTCTTGGTAGAATGCTGTGACTCTGCTTTTTCTATCTGCAGGAAAGGGTGGCTCTGCAGTATCATGCGGATCTTAAGCTGTCTGCTATGATCACTGTGTTTGGGACTCTCCAGGTTGCAGTAGTTGCAGGCACCATGGAGAGGGACCTCTCAGCCTGGAGGATTAAGTGGAGTGGAAGCTTAGAGCTCCTTGCCATCCTATATGGGGTTAGTTCACTATCTACTCTTAATCACTGCATTACTTGGATATAAATTGACTCTCTTGAAGACATTTCTTTTCTTATGATATTTGATCTTTTCCTGAATATTCAAACATTATCTGATGGTAGAAAAAGGTAAAGTTAAGATTGATGTACCAAAGAAAGTGAAATCAATTGCTATTATCAAGCTTTTCAATTTGCATATCTTTCTTTCATGATATTCCTTAATGTCAAGGATTTGCATTGATTTTATTTTTCCAGTTGTCAATCAGCTATACTGCTATTACTTGGTTGTAGTTTTAGATGAACAAGAACTACAAAAATATTACTCTAGCTTTGTATATGAGGATTGCCACAAGAATTTAGTTATTCATATTTATGATGTCATTGACAAGTAATAGACCTTGACAGAACTACAGTGGCTAATTCATGAACACATGATTCAATCTTAAGAAGACAGAATGCATTCAAGTAATGTCTCATGAACTAATGGATGTGTTTTCTATGGCTCTATGAACTGTGGTTTCGGTTGTTTGGGCATGAATCGATATGTGGATTGTCATTATTTCAGGTGATCTGCTCTGACCCATAAAAAAAAGATCTCCTCCGACCCGTTTAATAGTCTTCTTAGTTTTCTCTTCCTCTTTCCTCTGCCACCTCCTTTTCTTCCTTCCTCTTATTACTTCATTCTTCCTTCTCTTCCTTAACTACCCGGGAAAACACTGATATGCATCAATATATCATACTTCAATACACTGACATTGATGGGATCACCGAAATGAGTCAGATATCCAAAACGACAATCTTTCCTATGAACAATGCAGTAGAGCATGAAGAAAAACCCTTCCATAGTGCCATGTTATAAGATATCTCTACAAGTCATTCACATCTAATACACAACATTTTGTGTTCCAGGGAATCCTCGTAAATGGTGTGTCATATTTTGCGCGGAATTGGTGCATACACAAGAAAGGCCCCGTTTTCGGGTCTGCATTCTCTCCGCTGCTCGTCGTCTTCTCATTCCTCCTCCAAATAATCTTGATTGGGGTTACGGAAGAGCTTGCAAGGTGAGAGTTCCAAACAATTACCGTCTTGCTAAATACTATGCTTTCAGCATCGTATCGTCGCCCACTAAACAGCTTAAAACTCTTCCAGCATTGTTGGCTCGGTGCTTGTCATACTGGGTTTATATCTTCTTCTGTGGGCAAAAGCTAAAGATGACATGGTTGAACAGAGTCATCCTGTCCAAGCTTCCACTGCAGAACCATTGCTACCGACAGAGTCTTAGTAGCAGCGGACACATAGTATGCCAAAATTTAATCTTCTCCTTGATTTTGAAGCTTGTTGGATAAAATTGGATATTTTTATATATGATTCTCTTTATTTTGAAAGACTACCAAACTTTTTTTTTTTTGAAAAAAATTATTTAAACTCATCCCAGATCATAGATATATGGAAATGCAATTATCTGCTTCCACGGAGGAACAAAAGATTATGCATCTCCTATTGTTGTCTTGGTGCCATTGACTAGAGAGTCAATATAGCCTGGTTCGGTCCCGAAGGCACAGATCTGTCTTGGGGGCCCGTGCCGAGGTGAGAGTGGCAGCTCGAGCAAGCAATCTAGGGGAGCGACTTATCTATTGAAGGATGCTCGAGGTCATCCCGAGGTGCGCCTTGGCCTTGTCTGGAAGCATATAGCGTCGCTCCAAGGTGCTCCTTAGATGCGCTTGGGTCTTGCACAAGCGGTCGACGTCAGGGGGATGTCTTGACCCGACCTCGCCAATGATTAAGTCACTAGAGTAGGTGGAGAGGGTTTAATAGAGCTCATAAAAGTTTAGATAAAACTCGCTTGCCCTTATTTAGCCTTGGGGCTTTAGGTTTTTTACTTGAGCGGTTGACGACGTGAGGCCAACGATGGGTTAGGGTATCTCGTACCCTACCAGAGGATCATTGAGGACGACGTCAGGGTAGGACGACCGTGATGATATGCTTTGCTAGGGCTCTTGGCTTATGTGGGACAAGGGATGGTCCCTTGCGTTGTTCGTTTGGAAGGTAAAGTTGGGGAAGTTGTGCCATGCCGCTTGGCTTCAATGCATGCGCGTAGGCCTTTTCTTTGAAGATGTTTACAGGCGAAGGTGAGGAGTAGGCCTTGTTGACCTTTTTTCGGGGGTCGAGACAAGCAAGGGTCGACGAGTTGTTTCCCTGCTGGCGATTGCAGAGGATCGGTGTGAGTTTGCCCATGCTTTTGCTTAGGTGGCTTCCTTAGCTTAGGTGGCAGGGTGAGTTGGCAACATTGTCATTTTTCCTATCATTCATCCCCCTCTCCCTCCCCCCTAGAAGGTGTGCTTCGGGACTCTCATAGGGGTTTCAAGGCACGCCAATTGGCTTCATGGTTTCGCTTCGTTCGGGTGTGACAAGTTGCAGGCGTTGCCCCATTGTGACTTTGTGCTTCTCGTAATGGTTCCCGAGTGTTGGTATTGAGTTTGTTCATCGTAGCGGGTTTTGTTATTGACTGTTGTAACGAGTGTAAGTCCTAGCATGACGAGCCTTATTTATCCGTCGTGGTAGGTCTTGCCTCGATCGTCATAGTGGGAGTATGGATCCGTCGTGGTAGGTCTTGCCTCGACCTCCATAGTGGGAATATGGGTTTGTCGTGGTGGGTCTTACCTCGATCGCCGTAGCGGAAGTATGGGTCAACCATGGTGGGTCTTGCCTCTACCAATGTAGCAGAAGTATAGGTCCGTTGTGGTAAGTCTTGTCTCGAACATCATAGCGAGAGTCTGGGTCCGTCGTGGCGGATTTGCTTTGGTAGGTCCTTTCTTTTTCTTCGTTTTTCTCTGATCTCTCCCTTTCACTTCAGGAGGATTTCTTCTCTATTTGTTTTTACCTCCCCATTCCGCTTTAAGAGATTGTTTCTTCTTCATTTATCACTACCTCCCCTTCCACTTTAGGAGGCAGGCGACAAGCTCTCCGTTTGTTGCTCCTAGGAGAAGGCACCGACTTGGGACTCCATCGGGGCGGGCCTTGGCTCGATCGTCGTAGCGAAAGTATTGATCCGTCATGACAGCTTCCGCCATAGCGGGAGTATTGATTCGTTGTAGTGGGTTTTGACTCGACTATCGTAGCGGGTGTATTGATCTACCGTAGCTGCTTCTGCCATAGTGGGTCTTGGCCCAATCGTTGTAGCGAGAGTATTGATCTATCATAGTAGGTCTTAGCTCGACCACCATAGCGAGAGTGTTGATCCACCGTAGCGAGTCTTGGCTCGACCGTCGTAGTGTGAGTATTGATCCGTCGTGGCAACTTACACCATAGTTGGCTCGACCATCGTAGCGAGAGTATTGATCCGTCATTGCAGCTTTCACTGTAATAGGTCTTGGCTTGATCGTCATAGTGAGAGTATTAATTCGGCATGGTGACTTCCGTCATAGTAGCTCTTGGCCCAATCGCTGTAGCGAGAGTTTTGATCCACTGTCGCGACTTTCGTCATAGTGGCGTGGAGATTTTTCCAAGGCAAATTTGGTTTCTGGCTTGGCAATGCCCTTTTTCCTTGGGGGCAATGTCATGGCGCATTGAGTCTTTTTTGATGTGGCACTATTTTTATTAATTGATTTTGATCACGATGGGTCTCGCCTAAAGACTTGGTTAGCTTTGGGTTTCGTGTCACTTTTAGGGCTCTATGTGCTTCGATTTGCTAAGGTTTTAGGACCCAAATCTTGTTGTGGTTGCTTCTAGGTAAGAGCACGAGGATTTTGCATTGTCCGAGGCAAATATGAGTAGGCATTCGAGAGACGAGGGGTCTTCGAGTGTTCCTTCGACTTCCAGGAGGAGGCTTTGTTTAGCAACTTTGGTCTTTCATTGTTGTTTGTCCCGCCAATCTTTGCCGTCATTACTACTTAGGCTTTTCCTTGTTTTGCAAGTATGGATCTCCATGACATAGGCCGTCATTAATAATTTTTTTTATCAATTGAAAGATTAACTCACATACATAGTCCCATTATGTTGTAGGGCTTGTATTGTTCTATTTTCTTTTGCATCTCTTATAGAGACATTTCACTTTATTTTCTAACTTGCAAAAGAAAATAGAACAATACAAGCCCTACAACATAATGGTTGAGACTATGTATGGGAGTTAATCTTTCAATTGATAAAAAAAATTATTCAAAAAACATAAAAATATTACAGCAGATAATGGAAAGAGAAGAGGAAATAATAATGATAAGAAAGGAGAGATTCAAACAAGTGCCACAAATATGAATATAAGATGATAAATAATAAATTAATAGATATGACAACACTATGATATTCTAGAGACCAGACTTTCATGAACTGACTAATCTCTTACTCAGAAATTATGATCATGAAAAAACAATTGAGACAAAGAAAAATAAAACTAAAGAACAAAAGCTAAAAAAACTCTGTAAGATCAATGTTAACGAGTTTCTTATTAAGATAATAAAAAATTAAAGACTTATACTTTTTTTATTAAAGAAAATATTGAAAATGAAGCTCGATGAAAGAATAAAACTAAAGAACAAAAGCTAAAAACCTTCAAGCCGATTTAATAATGCTCGATTAAAGAATAAAATAACGATATCTGCTATTATACTTTTTTTATTCAAAAGAGAAAACGTTGAAAATGATAAAGACGATATAATTCTAAAAGTGACCAAAATCATCGAAGATAAAATTTTATTTTTTTCACATAAAACTTTTTACATTCGAGAATTTCGATGACAATGAGATTAATTTCAGTAACTAATTAACACTTGGAACAATTCGAAAGTGTGAGCAAGAGATGAAAATTAATAACTAGTTTAATACACGAATTTCAAGAGAAAACAAAATCAAATAACATTTACTATAAGAGAACAGATAAAACTAAATACCATAATTCTCTTATTTAATAAAAAATTATCTAAGAAATCTACAAAAATCAATAAAGATCAATATAACTCAATTATCCCAAGACAAGTGTCAAGTTGCTAACAAGTTAAAACAATATTAAGAAATCAAAATTCCACTACTCAATAACAATAAAAAAAAAACTTAAAAAATCAAAAGACACATTTCAATTAAAATAAAAATAAAAATTCAATAAAAATCAAAAATAAAAAATTTCGACAAAGACATAAACAAATAAATTAAAAAATATCATAAACAAATCTATACAAAAGATATTTGTTGTAATATTTATTTAAATCCATAAATCATCTTTTAAAGAGCAAATTTTCTCCTAGTAGATTGATAATAAATTTCCAATATATATATCTATCTTAAATTTTGCTTTTGATTCTTTTAGAGATATGATTTGACATTCCAATTTAATCTTATTTTATAAAATTTAACAAGGACGAATTTTTCGAAAAACTTCTTTTGGTTTTTCCGATGAGATAAAATTTTCATAGTTCTGAATGGATGCTCTCTTTGTTATATTCTTTATAATATCTTTTATTTGGATCGATGCACAGAGTGACTACAAATATTCTTCAAGTCTGCTTCATAAAATAACCAATAAAAAGAAAGGAGAGAACCTCCGACAAAATAATAATAATAATAATAAGGAACTTTTCCTGGATTCGTCCATTAAGAAAAATCTAGTATCATTCATTCAAAATTCAAAACAATCGAATCTCGTGATCCGGATCAATCAAGAAAAACATCCTAAATGAGAAGTGTTTATAGATGTCCGGAATTCCTAATCCTTTCAGTCTCTTCACATTCTAAACTGACAGAGGAAGAGAAATCCAAGGAGAAGTGTTTATAGATGTCTGGAATTCCAAATCTTTACAGTCTCTTCACATTCTAAACTGACAGAGGAAGAGAAAGCCAAGGAGATCATCTAATCAACCGAGAAGGTGTTACTGTGCCATCACCAGCAGCGAAAACAAGTTCATCGAAAACCAAAAACCACCACGCCACCGCAAATCGTTTCCCGAAACAGAAACACACACACACCCACAAAAGAAGGAAACAGAAACAATGGGGGTTCGTTTGCTGCTCATGTAACCGCTCAGGAACAAATTCCCGTCCCACGAAACGTTTTCCCATCGGAAAACGCTGTCGATTTGGTTCTTGCTTTATTATCATCGCAACACAACATCGTCCCCAACTCAAGCAAAAACGGAAAATAAATCATCGAAAACAAATAAGGAGAACTAAGAGATCGACAAAGATCAGCGGAGATTGAAGTGCCGGCAGAGAAGAGAGGCCCTTACGATGAGCGAACCTTTGTTTTCTGTCGTCTCAAAGCAGATGGAGCGAAACAAAAGGAAGCTGAAACAAGAACGAGACCGTGAAGGCGGCAGGAGAAATGATGTCTTCGGAACCCTAAAGGACGCGAGGGTATATATAGGATTGTTGGGGGGGGCATCAAGTGCAATGCATCGTTTATTTACAATTATACCCCCAGTCGATTTCAATACGACTCTTGCCATTGCGTAGTACTTCGATGGGCAATTATGGAAATAGGAAAATCCATTACGATTCGACAGATGCGATCCAAAGAGGGCTTTTGTTTTTGGACTAAAATATCATTCAAATAATTTTATATTATAATATATATATATATATATATATCATATTTTATTTAAAGGTATATATTAAAGTTTGAATGAAGATTTGAGGCTAATCTAATAAGGTTTCTTTTCTTATCTTTCTCATCATGTTCTTTGGTGGATATGGAAAATTCTCTCTCTATATTTTCGTCATCAATTTCATGTGAACAAGTCAGGTTATTCATGATTCCATTCAGCACCATTTCTCCCCTTCGATTCTTCTTGTGCCGATTACTGTTGTGTATAATCTCCGACACGCATTTAAAGTTTGGTTGGTTTCTCTGCCTTAAATGGTCTCAGAAATGGTTTCTCGTGTGTGCGCGCTTAAGTTGTTTGGTTAAATGCTTCTGAGACTGTGCTGCGTGCTGGAATCCTACTGGATGACATCTATATTTGCACTTGTGATCTTACTGATAGCATGGTCGAGGGATCTTCTTTGGACCTGAAGATTCCTCCGTGTTGCATCATATTCCAACAATGAAGCACATACTATTTCATATTTGTGTGATGAACAAAACATGTTTATGTAAGGCTCGTGAGCAAGCTATGGTTTAGGATGCTTGGGTAATGGAGAAGGATGGGTTGTCACTCCACGATAATCCGCATTGTAAACCATACCTTCCTCTTCATCTTTGTGCCGAACGCCTATCGGATCGATCTCGATTTCAGGTTTCTCTTTCCCTTGAGTTATCTACATCAAATGCAAGCAGAAAAAAATGATCTTTCTTCTTTGCAGGACCATAAGAAGATCTGTTAACTGACCTCAGTGTTTCTTCCTGAGAAGACGAGCTCCTTCCCTATCAGCCTGCGGAGATTTTGGCCTTCTACTGCTGAGGACTGGGAGGGAGAGGTACAAGTAGATAGATTGTAAGAAACAAGGAGTGTAAGTATTAGAAGACATGGGATCATCAAACCGACAAGTTTCTTCATGTTGGTGGCTCAAGGAAACTTGTGCTGTGATTGGAAGGAATGATCTCTTGGGAGCTGGGCAATGTTATATATACATGGAGGAAGGAGATGAGAGATTTGAATAATTGGAGCAGCTGGAGGAGAACATGGTGGTGGTCATGCTTAGATCTTTATGTATCTATGAGGGGTGGCAGCAGAAGGCCACCAAACTGACCTCCATGGCTATTGTCTCTACCACCTTTGTTCTCTCCACTTAATTTTTTCTGAGGCAAGGCAACAAAATCCCTTAAAGCATCAGATTCTGAGAGCCATACATGCCTCAGCCATACCTATGAACCCAACAAAACAGATCAAAAGATATCCTTTCTGCTCAGTTCACTGTCCATCTGAATTATGGAGGTCCAAAACACAGACATGTCTCCATTGGTTCCTTGGTGTGGTTGGTGATGTGTCTTTGTTTGTAATGTAAAGCTGATACATATCCCTGTTTAACTATTTGACAGGTGCTCTGAGAAGATGTGGATGCAGCAGACAAAAGCAGATCACAGAGGCTGCCCTCATCCATGCCTGTCTTTTGCCATTCACAGAGGAGCTGTGACATCGAAAGTGTTTGCCAATGGTCCAAACCTATCACCAGGATTTTGGTATGCCTACAATAATATAGGTCAGTTGCTAATATGCATCATATACAATTAATTGAATCTACAGACCAACATGCAGGTCCATCACAATATGATGGTGAAATCATTGTCATCTTCTCCATCCAGACCTGAGTCATGTAGCAACTGTAGCATGTCATGTCATGAGTACACAGCAGCTGCTCACATCATATTATGGATTTCAAGACCTCCCTCTCTCTTTCTTTCTCCGAGTTGTCTGCAACAATTAATGAAGTTGGGACATGGCAAGATCTTCTCGTTAGCTCACACCTACAAGTCCATGTTCTTGAGCCAACATGGTGGGACTTCATTGGCTTGGTCTAAAGCTGATGTGGTAAACCAATTCTATACAAGTCAGCTAAACAAATTCTCAGTACTTTTGTCCATTTCATATCCTTCTTTAGATGTGGTTTGACAAAATGCAGTGTGCTGTATGTGTTGATGCTTCCTGCAACAGGAGTGAGCTTAGTCTCCTCACTCATGGAAAAAAGACAACAAGGAAATGAAATGTAAAAGAAGAAGATGCAACATCATATTATTACTGAATGAGAAGTCAACCTGAGGGATGAAATTGCATGCTCTGATCATTTTGAGCCTTCTTTGCTTTTGAGCATAAATATATTTATTTGTCACTCCAAATTCCTCGTAAAATAAGTATGCATTTATGTATCTTACAACAACTGCATGTAAAATAAGAAATATAAGACAGAGTTGACTACACAACTTGTCAATTATCTATCTTAAACCCACTCTACAGTTTGATTAGGTCAGAAAACACGAAGAAAGAGGAAACCAAACACTCGAGGAAGGAGGAAATAGCAGAAGAGCAGCTGCACTTGTTCTTCTTCCTTCTCTTTCTGTCCGATCGACCACGCTTTGATGCTTCTTCCTTCATCTGTTGTGTAAGGGGTTCGGGCCAGTAGGCACGGCGCGCTTGTCGTCGTCAACTCGGCTGTCGTTCTGCTTGGCTCGACCAACATAGCCACAGAGATCAATCTTCTTCGACCGACACCTGTGGAGGCCAACGTTGGCAACCCTGACAGCCGACTCGCCCGCCGGTCTCTTCCCAGCTTCCGCTCCATGACCGGGCTTCCTCTCGACATCTCCAGCGAACCCATGCGAACAGATCCCATCGGCGACTAGAATTAAGCAGGTGGCCAAAGCAGTCAAAGCCCATCTCTTCTTCATGTCCTCTGAGATATGCCTGCACCTAATGCTGCTTTACTACGCCCACAGAGTGGTAGAAGCAAGCGAGGAGAGGCGAGAGAGGAAGCCAACAAGAGCCAAAGAGTGACTCCACCAAACCGCATTAATGTATCTTCAATTCACTTGCAGGCGTAGAACTAAAGAGAAAAAGAAGGCAGCCCATATCTGAAGAAAAAACAACACGCATGTTCTCGATTCTTGCAGATTGTGAATGTGGAAAGAGGGAAGAAGGCTTCATTCCATTGCCATTCAATTCCTTCCCTCACATTAGCTCTCTCTATCATGCGGTGTCTTGAGAAGCTTCGGAGTAGTAATTACCACCATCACGGATCGTAAACAAGAGGCGGAGAGAGAGAGAGAGAGAGAGAGAGAGAGAGAGAGAGAGAAAGCCACCGTATAAGGCGTGTGGAGACGACTTCTCCATTAAACCCGCGGGGGTTACAGTATTCTTCCTGCTACTGTTGCTTCTCTTCGGTGGAGTGTACTGCTTGCAGAAAACAACTGCACTTCCGACGACCACTACTCCTTCCTCTCTACGAGTTGTCGATCATGTAAATAGTAATTCTGCACTCATCACATTTAGTCTGTGGGCTGGTGGAGTCCCAACTCTAGGAAGTGCATTTGGTGATAGAAGATGGAAAGTATGCATCAGCCTTGGGATTGCCATTCCAGAGAAGGAAGTGGAGTCTCATGAGCTGGTGCTTTGGAGGGAGAATGTTGGAGTCTTATTGGTGTGCCATCAAACCATGAAGCTCGAAATTGTGGTGATCCAATTGGACTTCCTCAGTGTTCATCTAAGCAGCTTAGATGACATCCTGTTTCAGGTTCCCAGGGAACTACTCAAGCACAAACAAATCCATTTCATCAGTTCTAAGCATTTTAATCAGCCAGTATCAACCAGTCTGAATTAGTACTTACTAATATGGGAATCTATAGCTTGATATCCACACAATACTATTTTGCTTAATAGTACAGACAAATTTTCTTTTACAGATAAAAAGTGATTTGTGATATAGACTCCAATGAGCAGAGCTGCTGCTGCAATGTTAGAATACAGATAACAAAGATCAAATGGTCAGAGCAGTGAGAGAATGATCATAAGAATGAACTTAGCAGCTTCAAGTGAGCTCAGCTTCTCAGTTTTCCTCTTTGCAAGAAGTCATATTAACTGATCACAGGAGGCAATTGCTAACATGGAAATCTGTTCTCTTATTTGATTGACTACACAAATGATGTGGTGTTCAGTGATAAGATTGAAGAATTCCTACTCCAATCTCTTTCCTTGGAAATGTATTTCTATTGCACATAAACAAAAGCTCCAACCATCCATAATCCTACTCATTCTTCCTAAGAAACATTAAAGGTTGACATGACTTCAAATTACATTCAGATACATGGACATGAAGATGATCCTAGCCTTCTATGATCCCTGCTGTATAATTGTGAGCAGGGATAAGTGGTTTGTGCATTCACTTACACACAAACTCCTCTATCATTGAACTCTTCTAACAAAATGAAAATTTCTTCCACCATTATCTATAGATGAGGTTTGTGGTAATTGAGTGTTTTATCTTTCCTTAAGCACTGTGTTTTATCTCTCTTCTTCTTCTTTTTCTTCCTCCTGCTTCCTGCTTTCTTCCATTGCTCCATTAAGCTTTCTCACATCTCATGCTGTTATTGTAAAGAGATCTCAATATATTGATCAAAAAATTGCATTATGTGTATAAAAAGGCATCAGCCATTTATATCAGTATCTCCAGAAAACATGGGATAAGAAAAGGAGATATTGTAGAGCATTAAGGGGGACCAGAATAAGAGCTAAGGAAGGATGTGACAGGGGCACTTCACATCACACCATTTCCTTATGTATGATTCCTTCTAATATGCTTATTATATTGTCTTCTAGCTTTTATATCTATTGTGTCAAATCAGATTCATGGAAGGTGGGTGGGAATTGATGTGCCTTCACATGAATCTTCATCCTAAGCTTCTCCACATGCCCTCTCACACCTCAATCCCAATCCCTTCAACCACCTCATGTTCATCATCATCCCCACCCTCGAAGACTCCCTCCTAACTTTCACCTCTTCCATGACAATCGACCAACATTTGATCATCGAGTGAAGTGATGAACTGTAATTGTGGAGAATGAAGACTCACATGAACTGATCTCTCTGTACTGATTGCTCTGATTTGAATCAAGGTTGCTGACATGCCATGATTCAAGGCAAGTGGTAGGTCTGACTCTATCGAATCTCTCTCACATGTGGCATCAAGGCTGTACACTTGAAGCTGTGAGAGCCACGAAAACTAGAGCAGCAGTCAAGACACATGGCATACTATACTGGCGCACAATGATCCAAGAACCAGATGTGATATGTCTCTTCAACCATTAGATGCTACATCCCTGTCAACAGTAGCAAGAAGATGGTGATGGGATCCCTCTTCTTCTTCTTCTTCTTCACTAATCTGTAGGATGCGTGACTGGATCAAATGCAGTAGATTGGACATCATGCAACTCTCCCACTGCAGAATACACTACTAGCAGACAATGATCAGGCCATTGAACGAGGACACAACATTACAGGAACTTTGAATGGTTCAACAGGCCATCACATGATATTTGTGTTCCAGACACTGGGTTGAATCTTCCTCAACAACAGAGACAATCATTTGAGTGTCTCAGTGTCCATAAGAAGAAGATCTGCAGCTATAGAACAAAAAACAGAGTACAGAAAAATAATATAGCTCATCATTTGCATTTGTTAATTGGAGTAGGTTTGATGTGAATGAGAGGTGATGAGTTCCTTACTCATTGGTGACCTCCAATGAAATGGCATTGCAAGGTAATCATCCTAAGAAAGATAACAACATTCCTTCATCATACAGTGTGTGAGGCCTTGGATACCCTTGTGCACATTTCCATCCTCCTTCCTTTGTGATCATTATATATCTTAATCATCTCAGGAAAGATGACAACATTCCTTGATCATGCAGTGTGTGAGGCCTTGGATACCCTTGTGCACATTTCCATCCTCCTTTTGTGATCATTTATTATCTTTGGTGCATGCTTGACAGGGGACCATGTCTCCTCAAGTGGACAGAGAGAGTTGTCCTCTTAAAACACAGTGCTTGATATAACTTCTCTTCAAGTGCCTGTCCAAAGTAGCTTGAAGTTTCACATCCATATTTCACATGGTGGAACACATCTCTCTTCAAGATGTGCCAACCTTGTGGTCATATTTAAATCCCTGTGACACAGTCTGATGTAACCTTCATGGCCTGCTGACCCACCATGAAACTTGCCACTGCTAGAGGACAAAACATTTGATGAAATCTTGATTGAATACCAGAGCATGATGTTGAATCATGCCCACATGCCTTTGTCTGATCCCATCAGCTGTCCATGTACGATTGGCACTTGGCATTTCCCTTCTCTTTTACTCATGATATAGATGAAACCTACAGCTTGTCCAACCCCACAAAATCTGTTCATGCTATAGCATCTGCCGCTGGTTCAAAAAATCCACCAATTATGGTAGATCAGTCAACTCTGGCATGCATGTTGGATGACTCAGGATCTCACAGACTTAGTACTGAGATTGGGTGAAGGTTTAGCTTCACAGAATCTCCAAATTTTCAACCATATGTGTCTTTGTCATTCAACAGCCACTACAACTTCATTTCTGATTCCAAGATTGTATTGGCAAACATGCTGATCTACTACTGGTGGTTTCCTATCCATTCAAATATCACAAGCATTGGCTGAAGGAGGCAGCTGGAAATGGCTTAATTTTTGGCACTGATGTCATCTGGAAGCAGAAAATTGCAGACTGTGAGGCTTTAGTTTCTTGGTCCTGATTCATGTTATCCACCATAATTGTTATATCTCACCAACTAGTCCACACCTGCCATACCAACTCAAAACAATATAAGAAAGAAATGAGATTATGAACAGGAAAAGATCCATAAACCAGACAGGTTGTATGTGGGACAAAAGTGATCTTCCTCACTCTTGTTTCCTACCTCAGTCCTCAATTTGATATCAAGGGAATTTACAGTGAGGGAATCATCAAATCATGCAAATGACTTGTGACTGAAGTTAAGTTGATTCAACATTGAAGTTTTTTTTTTTGTGCTTTTATTTTGAAAACAAAATTTGAACAGAAGTATCAAAATAGTATCAACTGAGTAATAGTCACAATCTGGCAGATGTATCAGTATTCTTGTTGTTATCTTAAATTTCACTTTGTGATGATATACATACATATATTTAATTGCTGCCAATAAATTTGACATATTTTTCTGATGCATCATTGACATCTTTGATTGGCACATTTCTAATGTGTCATACACTGAATTCAAGCTCATGGTGGGTGGAGAGAGAAATAACTTCTTTTCCCAGTCTGACATCAAACACTTAGTCAAACATCCATCCATCCATTTCATGTTCAAATTTTCTTACCAATATCTGATCCATTCATTTTAAAATTATGATTTTAATTCAGAAAATATTGTGATAGAAACATCACCAGAATAGCTTTTGATTCCCAATATCTGATCACCAGGATGAACTCTCTCTCTCTCCTTCATCCGTCATCGTGTTCCCTTCACAAGATGCAGTCATCTGAATCTGGGAACACCTCTTCCTGTTGGCTGAATCATCCATCTTGATTCACTCGTCCCATAATAGATTTTGAGTGGGTATACGGTTCGAGTCAGAGAATCATGTCAGTTCTCGTGGCTTCTCCCATCAGGGAAGAATCCGATCCCAATGGAAATGACATCTCCAAATGTACATCGAGAAGCTCGGATGAATAATTTGCTTGATTCTTTCCCATTCTTTTCTTTCATTTGGACTGTGACTCTGAGTACCGCATGAATCCACTGTAGCAGCCATGTTACGAGGTCATCGTCCATTGATGTGGCCAGATATTATAGTTAAGGAAGAAAGAAGACGACTTGAGATGTGTGCGGCAAGCAGCACCAGAGGACACCAGAAGTGGGGCTTCTCCAACGTGGGAGGAGCGAGACAGGGGCTCTCTCATTAAACTAGGCTTCTCCTGGAGCGCTATGAGTCCGTTGTCAAGGTTTCGTGCACATGAGTTCACGGCCTTGGATGACAGATATGCTTTGGTCTGTCGGCTTTTGGAGGAAAGCGATGGATTTGTTGCTGCTGCCGCTGTTCTTCTTTGTTCCCTTACCTTTTTCTTATTGGACTTCTCTGTGCCAACCTTTGTACTCATTGCGTTCTGACCTTCGGCAAGTGGGCGATGGGTAAGAACCGATTCAGTGCCCAAGGTTGAATGAAGTTTATTACCTTCTACCGTGATCAAGGTGGGATTTTTCTGATCTGGAGATGAGAAAGAATCCTCCTTTCTCCGAGAAAGCAGCTCACGCACGCAATCTCTCTTGCCTTTTGCCCATATCAATCATTGAATCCAGTACGAAGCTCCATTGCTTTCTGTACTCAACCAAAAAGATCACTTCTTTGATGCTAAGACCGTGCTGATCTTATCTGATATCTTCCGATTGCAAAGAAAGGCCACTCTTTTCACCCGATTCAGCCATTAAACCGTGCTTTGAAAGGACAATTGAAGAATTCTAACCACTGTGATTGACTGAATAGCACACCCAACGTAGCAGATAAAACGCCCACACTTATCCGTGAGGATAAATGCAGGGGTATCTCTGGTTCTTTGCGTGGAGAGAGAGAGAAGCTGAAGCAGAGTAGCCCACCATAGCATCTTGGTGTGTCGTTCACATGCTTGCTTAAATGGCTTGCATACACGAGTTAGATGTGGATTCGTATGCTGTTTCTGGTTGGCTGACTCTTTCCATCCTCCCTTGTGGATATGATACAATACCGTACCTGATCTCACCTTGCCTTGTCCGCCACAGCCTGTCAAGCTCGCATTAGATTTCTGCAGTCTTTGCTGCTCCTGGAAGCAATTGCCGAGCTGCATATATCCAGCTGATGAGTGAGGCCACCACTCTCCTTCTCTCGGATATCGCTGATGATTAGCCACGGATCGAGATTTCATGTGGTGTTCATGGGGATGATAAATGGAGGAGAGGAAGTCTTGTAGGAAGGAGATGCTCGACAAGCACTGGGATTGGAGCTTGCAGGTGAAAACTCTCTACTTCTTCTTCTTCTTCTGCTACCTGTAGACTGCATCACTGCTCTCAATTCTTTGTTATTCTTCGCTGAAATCTGGTCTTAATTTTTCCAACTTTTCGGATGTTGAAATTGTGGTGAGACTGAATGAATCTCACTGTTCTTTTTGCCATTCTACCTTTTCTTTTTTTTTGGCCAGAAAGAAAAGCTTGAGTTGCTCCTCTGATTGGTGATGATATTAAATCACATATGATCTGATATAAATCTCTTGAACATTCTGAGCTCAAAAAGATGGTTTCTGATTTAACTTGACTTGTATTCATTGCATTTTATCTGTTCTTTCCTTTTTTCCAGTTACACAAGAATTGAGATCTGATCTGAAGGAGTTTTCTCTCCTAATATATGCTTTTCATCTGAAGGAGTTTTCTTGAGTTCTTCACATCTCAAGATCTTCTGTAGGAGTGATGTGCTACAACTACAATTATCATTTATAATAATTATAATCAGAGACATATCTGTTGCAGATCAGTAAAAAGATGAAGTCTGCTAATGGTGTCCCTATTCAGATCATGAATGCGGTGCTTATTTATGTTGTCTCCTACATTTAAGCTTGGGCATGAAGGAACCAAGACTGGTTTTATGATTACTAAGTTCCATGATGGTATTGACATTTTGCAGGAGTCAGATGTCTCGACTGCATTCCTGCACTGAATTCTATGTGGGCCAGAAGGTGGCTAAGACACCTCAGAAATGGCTTTCTTATGGTTGTTTGCCATAAGATGTCATTTGTACTTAGCCAATCATCATAATTACCTTCTTTGAAATAGATCAAACTGCTTGAGATTTGGCTTAGATTTCCTAATTTTGTCCTAATCTTTTGATAGCAACATGATTCTCTGAAGAATTAGCAGGATATGAATTCTTCTTCTTCTTCTTCTTCTTTTTCTTCTTCAAGTTGAGTAACTTGACATCTAAAAAGTTTTGCCCCATCTTTCTTTATTTTCTTTGGAATTTTCTGTAATCTGAGTATTAGTTGTTTTTGGAGAAATCAGGAGAAAGCTACTAAATTGAGCTTATGTGAATCTCCGGATAGATACTCTCTCTCTCTCTCTCTCTCACACACACACACACACACACACACATACAATTGGTGATAGGATTTGGTTGTCTGTTAGCCTGACACAACCTTTCTCTGTGTCTCCACATCTGAGTCTTCCTTACTGCAACCATTTTGTCTGACAGTGAAATGAACCATTTCTCTTGATTTCTCAGGAATGGGCACAAAGTTGCATCAGATGAACAACCTATTCACCACCTTGCAAAAGACCAACTGTAATGTAGTGAATGCAGGATTGAGAAGCTCAGATATTGGAGCCATATCTGACAACATATCACTGAAGGTAAGCGTTGTTGGTGGTCTGAACCAGCTCAAGGCCTCGATGGAGAGACAACTTGACTGTTGTGACACAGATTCTCTAAGGAATACCATGTTGAAGCATGAAGAAATCTTCAAGCAGCAGGTAAAAGCATTCTCTGTTTCTGCTGTTTTTTGTGAAGCTAATACCTATCTATGCTTGAAACGATTCGATTTGAGTTGGCTTGGATGTTGCAGGTGCATGAACTCCATCGTGTGTACGGAGTTCAGAAGATGCTGATGGCCGAGCTGGGAGAGAAGCAGGTGAGCCTCCACGCCGTTCCAAGTGAAGCAGTAGTAGCAGTAGCAGATGCCAGGACCAGAATCTGGAGCAGTGCTTCTACCTCGGACACCAGCCACTCTTCTCATGTCAGTAACCTGCACCAGTCTGCACCCGAGTTGAACTCGGAGTACAGCTCTTTGAATCCATGGAGTGAGCACGTCACGGGCTTCGATCTCGAGCAGCCAGCCGAAGAGTACACCTGCAGAGGAGCCACGAGCATGGACGAGAAGACCACCAAGGATAAGGAAAAGAGGAGCATGAAAGGTTCGTTCTCGTGGCCTGATGACGGAAGCGAGATCGAGTTGACATTAAGCATAGGATGCAGCAGCTCAGATAAGCAGAAGAAGAAGAAGAAGAAGAAGAGAGGAGAGGAGTGCGGTGACGACTCCTCTGGTTTGGACAGAGAAGAATCGAGGAGGTCTCCATGGATTCTTCGAGCTTTTAATCTGAACAAGACATGAAGCTTCCTTGCATCTGGGGCAGCTCTGGTGCAGTGGCACGCGGCTGATGAGAGGAGGCCAAGGGTGGGTGCGACGAAGGATTTCATGTGCTTGATGGTGAAGCTGATGAATGAGAGAACTCGGAAGAGAGAAGAGAACCTGATAGAACAGCACACGATGGGGATTACTAGAGTATGAAGCTCAATACCCTGCGACGATCGCACCCACCGCATTGGCTTGAAGACCGATAGTTGACCTACGACTGATTCCAGCAAGAAAAAATCGGCATGACAACCTCGAGTAAGCCTGTAATTTATGATTCCGAATACATCAACTAATTTAACTTTGCATGCACTGATGGATTGCTATTTGATCTCCATCTTACAGTAATTACTCTACTATGAAAAATATGTTGACGTTATAAAGGATTTTTGACCTGTCAAAGAACAATGAAAGATAATGACTGCTGCTGGCACAGGCATTAGCAAGAAAAGATTGCTCATAAAGCAAATAACTACTTTCCAGTACGACATTTAAATCAATCAGAGAGTAAAATGTCAAGTCACAAACAAATTCCACAATGATTCCCGGGTGATTGGTCGTAAAATATTACAGGCTGGGTGGTGCAAGGCAGGAGACCCAGTGAAATGGATGCCGATCGAGTGAAAACCACAAACTACTACAACTCTTGCCTTAAGATGATGAAACCTAAAATGATACAACAGCACATTCAGTGGATACAGGCACCGACTTTGGAAATGGATGCCAATCGAGTGGAAACTACGAACTACTGGTGTTTTTGTTTTGGTACAACTAGTGTACAATGAGCATGATCTATTGTTGATCATCACTTGGCTCCCCGTCCCCCCCGTCCCCGTCCCCGTCCTCTTTTTACCTTGACTACTGCTCTTTTCCGGCGGCTGCTAGAACTAGGTTGAGGTTCAACCAGAACCTGCTCAATTGACTTCATTAGTATACCATTCTCGGTGTTACCTGTGATACTGCCTGCCACATGAACAGCAGGTGTATCAATGGCAGCCTCACTCTGAGGCTCACAGGTCTCTCCAGAGATGCCCATGGTTTGCTCACCATTACCACAATGAGTATAGCTCTGATCCTCCTCGCAAAAGGACTGTGGATTGGCATTTGACTCCGCAGATCCACTGAACAACAGACCAAGCTGTTAGCCCAAACTACACGTAAGAGCAGGGTCACAAATTTATTCCCACATATGCTTACCCATTGGTTGACAATTCATTTGCCCGTCCATCTGTTCCATGCTGCAAGAAAATATTTCCTTGCTGCGGCTTTGCATCTGTGAAGTATCAGATATTCAGTGCATTTGAACGTAAACAAGGGTACTTTTATTGACGCAACTCATTGCAAAAGACAATTACAAGCAATGCTCAAACAAACGCACATGCATACATATATACACCCTCAAAGAAAGGCGAATCAAGAGCCACCACATGCAAGCAACTTTTACATAATTTGCTGGATTTTCCCTGCCAATCGTGAATTATGAAGACAAAAACCACTAATGCACCACTGTAAAATTCCCACAAATACCATAGACTTTTCTACAAATTGCATAACCACCTACAAATTTGGATACCACTTTGACTTTCTAATTCTATTCTAACCACAAAAATAACCAACTGGATGTCTCTAGTTTTCTAGGACCAATTTAGGATATAAGCTGACTGTAGACATACATATATAGGGTGATACAATCAGATATAAAAAGGATCATGACAGAGATATTTATTTAAGCACATTGTACTCATTGTCACATGCAGCAAGATATAGCATCCATATCTAAGATAGGGGTGACAATCTCTGACCCCAACCCACCAACACTCCCAAATTAAGATGATTCTGTATAAGTGAATTTGTCATTAAGGTCAGATTTGGATAATTAATTATATCTCAACCCAACAACAATCAAGTTGAATTTACGTTTGTCTCTGGCCCTGATGGGAAGCATAATAAAAGAAAGGTGTGATGTGCACCCACATGTATCTAACAGCTTATTCAATTTATATTTGGATCTAACCGGATCTATCTATGAGACCAAGTAACAGAATTTATAATTTAACATAAAAATACTTGTGTTATTTATGTACAAAAAACATACTAATAGTATGGTATTATACTTGTCTATGATGTTTATATCAAATCAGTTGTTATATCTAAACATTGAATGTGTCGAAAACAAGTGCATTTTTAACTTTACAAACCAATATCCAAAACAATATCTTGATATTTAATAATTATGAATTCAAATAAAAATCTAAAACTGTCTTATTGGATTTGGATCTCGATTCGGGTGTAGTTTGAAGTCCTTTGAACCCTTATCAATTTCAGAAATTGATCCAAGGTGGATCCAACCCAAAAACAACACTACCCTCTACCAAATAATACAAGCTCAGCAAGAAACGACATGACAGATATAAGTTGCAAGAGATACAGATAGCTTTGAAAGATCAGTACAGCACAAAGAACTGAATACTTGAAACATGAATCTAGACTCAATGACCAACAGAATTTAGAATTTGAAATCTGAACCTGGATTTGACTCTGTAGTGTTATTGGCTTCCAAATTCCCCACAACCGCAGTTGTGTTAGCACTCGAGGTTTGAACATTTTTATCAATATTGTTAACATCATCAGCATCACTGACATCAAGAACAAAAGAATTTATATCAGTTAATGCTTAGTGAAAGTTACATATTAAGATGAGCCTTTAAGCAAAACTAATCATAAATTGCTAAGTCAAGATGGACTGATTTTCAAACTGACAACATTAATTGCACCTCATGTGAAAGATGACTCCTGAGAAACGTAAAGAAATAAAGGAAAATGCTGAGGTTGCTTGGTGAAAAAAGAACAAGTCAACCTTGGAGTCTTCCAGAATAGCTATGCATCTGAAAAAAAAAATGTTACATCCTAAACAGGAACTAGTCATGTCATCCTTCCTAAACTATGGAAAATCAATTTTTATGATACAAGGAAAGAGAGATTCATGGAACCTAAAGCCTGCCCAAACTCTTATTGAAATAGAACAAGGAGGACGGCACCCTTTGACCTATTGAAATGCCAACCGACCAACTGGGTCTCAAAACCCGACCTGCATGTTGGGGGTCACTGATTCCTTTTGTTTCCTGGGCATTCAAAGAAGAGACTTTGCGACCCTCGATTTTCCTGGCCAGACAATGAATAATGGTCACCCTTCTGTGTTAAAAAGGACTCATAAGTACCATTCCTGATAGAAACAGGACTGCAAGGACGTGCCAGGCTGCCCCTTCCAATAGAGAAAAACCCAATATATTGGTCAGGGGTAGCTAGTACCTCGTAAAATAAGGATAAAGAAAAAGGAGAGAAGAGAAAGAATACATAATGCAAGTGCGATAAATTTAAGGTTTCTATCTAACTCAATGAATTATACAGTGTATGAAATTTCGACCACTAAACCAAAATCTAACTGTTAAAATGAATTAGATCTACATCTAACAACATAAGTTATAAAATATACATTATTTACATCATATTTCTAAAATAGAGCCGTTAACAAGAGAACAAAGAGAACCAAATCATGTTTGAGTTTCATTTGTCAGAAAAGAAACATTAAACTTCTATTCAGACAAAGCCCTGTATTGTCTCAAACACGCCCAGCCTGAGCCGTACACGGGTTCAATTTTGAGCCCCATCTGCAGCAGAACAGATCTGGTCTAAATTGCAAGATCTTGAAGATGAATACACATCTTCATGCTACCAGGAATTGCAAAACTACTGTTGTGAGTTAACGATACAATTCCTGCTAATTTTGGAGGCAAAGAGGTGGTGGTCCAACCTTGTACCAGATTTCTTTGATGCTGCTTGAAGCTGGCCAGCTCTATAATTGGCTAAAAGCTGATCTTCTGGGGTCATACACTACACTAGTTACATGTAAGCAACATTTCAAGCCTTTGGAGTCCATGAGAGAAAAGAGATGACAGCTCTGTTTCCCAGAAGATTGACCGACTGCTACACAATTTAATAGGTATATAGCATGACTTGTAACATCCCAAATGATGCTTTGAAGCATAATCAGTTCACAGTTAGACATGTTGGTTACTTGGTTTCCTGTGAAAAAAAAAGCTATCTTTCTGTATGTGTACATCCCATAATACAATGTCAGAGAAGCAACTGAGAGCATTGTGCACCTATACAACACTGAATAACATAAATAGCACACCACAAGACAATATATACTGTGATAATGGTGAAATAAACATGGAACATCGTATCCAACTAGTCCCAGCATGATAGTCTTGGAGGCCAGCAAACCTAGGAGGCGTAGTAGAACAAAGAAGAGGTTCAAGGAAGTCTAGTTTGAATGTTTAATGAAAAATATCCATATTTGACAACTGTGTTCAATATTTATAAAGAGTTTAATCAATGAAATAATCAAGTGCACAATGATACAACAAACTTCATCATATTTGAACTCAAACCCCTAAAGTTCACATCATGTGATTCAAATCCGATGTCCAGCAATAACTACTCCAGGAACTTGACAAAAAGCATATCACAAAAAATAATAAAAATATAGTAACAAGGACCTACTTCACAATATAGATAAGTGGTACCAACTATTTTAAAGATAAACAAAATTAACTATAAAGAATATATATAACTTTGCATGTATGAGATGACTAACCACAATGTTGTGGACTTGGTGATATCTGGTGTCACAACTGCCTTCTCAGCCATTGGGTCTCCTGAAAACAAAATCCCATTTCAATAATTCAAAAATTATTACTCATGGTACTAGTGAAAATTTTATGTCCACTTTCACTGCAAAATTACCACCGTGCACTACTGATGTGGAAGCTGGAACAAAAGAACCACGAGGAATGTCACTATCAACAATGTATTCTTGCTCGGTTAGCAAAGGCTCTACGACATCCTGATAACAGAAAATTTCCTTATAGGTCATGGCAACTTTTACATTAACATATAACATCTGAATTTTTTTAAAAGATAATCCAGTATATCTATCAGCTTAGAAGAATCAACAAAGCAAACTCTGTTTACCTTATTTTCTACCAAACCAGGGGACAATGTAGGTTCACTCTCTATCTTAGATTCTGTGGGATCTAAAGAACTGATAGTTGGCAGTGCAGTTTCATTGGCTGATTCCGTTGCTTTATCTGTTTCTTTAGTCTCTGAAGCTATTACAATAGAAGAGGGTTTATCTGCTAAAACTAGAGGGTCCGCATTGACAGATTTATCAGGTAAACTAAGACCATCTTTTGAACAATCATCTTTGACATGTAAGTCTGCCAATGACTTAGGAGCACTAGAAGTTTCCACAGATTGTAAAGAACCTGAATAACGTTCCGTCC